GGGAGGAGATAGGAGTGTTGGAAAGGTTGGCAAGAATTTCTTGTGACCCACGTGGGTTTTGTTGTTTTGGGGGGTTTTTTGGTCCCATTCACATTTGTCATCTGAGTTCTTCTCTCCTTCCCCCTCCCCCATGACTCACTAAATGTGACTGTAGCTGAACTTTTATAGCAGTTTATAAGAACTGTATAAACAACTTGATATTTTGACCCATAAAACCAAGGACATCAGTACCTCAATCCCACTGAGCAGCAGCTGTGTAGTCTAAGTTGAGCCGTGCAGTCTGAAGGTTGCATTCAACATTGGCTTATGAAATGACCTTAACAATGCAATGGCCTTTGAAGATATTGCTAAAATAAGCACAAATAACTCCTTAAAATGCACTGTTGGCTGAAAACAGGTTTCATGCTTGAAAACATGATTTACATCTCTGGAAGCAGATTCCTGCATTTCAGTTTCCCCATTCTTAAAAAGCAGTAATCCCATAGCTGAGCATATGCAGCTGATCCCTACTGGGAAGCCAGGGTCTGTTATTTATCTGATACTTAAATTGCACTGCATATTTGTAGAACATGCCCTTTCTCTTTTTCAAGTGAGAATACGTGCTTTTGGGTCTCAAATCAATTAGGATGAAAGGGATGTAGGAGCAAAAGAAACCTGGTGTCAAACCTCCTATTCAAGGAGAAGGTCAGAGGAGCTCACCAAAAGTGAATTACAGGTTCACGTACCAAAAGCTAATAGACATTTTGAAATCTGGAATCTGACCAGGATGTGAAGCTGAAACCATGGATGATCTCTTACCAGTAAGTGATTCCCCTTTCATCCTCCTGGACCGCTACAGTTTTTTGAGGTAGTTGGCTATGAGATGCTGCTGTGTCCTGTGAAAGAGGTGGCAGGGATCCAGGGGCACGTGCTGGAATTGTGTGCACACCTTTCCAGAGGCACACCTCCAACAAGTAGTGATGGGGGAGGCTTTATCTCCCGTCACTAGACCTCTTGTTTTGGGAGTCTCCAAAGAAGCAGTTAGTTCTGGTGTTATTCAGCATCAACCTTCAACCCCTGTGCTAACTGGGCAGAGGAGCACATGTGCCAGTGATGTGCAGATGAGACAAAGCGCTGCCTGTCATTCGCTATGTGTAACCAAAATGGTCCAGAGATAAGCACATGGTTGAACAAGTTTCTAAAGCTGGGCTCACGGAAGACAAGTGATGCTGGTGGAAAGACTGCATAGCTACAATGCAGTCTCTGTTTTGGTTGAAGATGCACACCTATGACTGGGTCAGTTTACTCTGTAGTTCAGAAGTATCCTGTTTCCTTGCTGATGCCATCTTCTTGCATAGAAAGCATTGTCTATAGATATCGTAGATCCCTCCCCATCTTGATGGACAGTGATTTGGCCTCAGTAATTCATGCTTTCATTACGTCTCAGGTGGACTGTAGCGATGTAGTATACCTGGGCACAAAGTCTCCAGTGGTTGTAATAATCCAACTAATACCAAATGCTGAAATGTGTTCACTTAGTAACACAGGCTAATGTGAGAACATCAACTTGTCCTCTATTCTTTACACTTGTTTCTGATCAAATTTTGAATCAAGTTCAGTGTCTTAGGCCTTGGGTGACTACCTTGGACTGAACCCAAGAGAGCTAGAAGACTTGCCTTAAAGCCTCATGATAGAGGTCGTGGTTGATGATAACATTACAGAGGCACAATGAAACCATCGACAGTAATGAGAAAGCTTGTATGTGTAGTATAAACAGGGCTTTCATGGGCTTGTGTGCAACTGGGGGTGAACTCCCCCAGGAGCTCAGGACCATCCCAGACTTCTTGCCTTCTGCTCCAGGTGCAAGGTGCCTTTCTTTGAATTTGTTGCCTTTTAACAGGGGTGTTGATCTAATAAAAGGTATCATTTTTGGAACTAAGAATTCTAGTTTTTTGTATTGTCTTTAACATAAATTGGTGTAGAGCTTTAAAAGAAAACAGAAGGAAAATCCCTACTGAAGCAGGACACTTCTTTGCATGTGCTTCTCCCCCCTGGGGCGAGGATGAGAAAACAAAGGCATGAGAGATGCTAGTCGCACTGTTTTAATGCACCACTGGAAGGCATGCTGATGTTGTTTTCCTGAGTCTGATATGAGAATTAGAATGGACTGGAATAGGTTTAACAGTAAATTTAAATTAACATAAAATGCTATGGCGTTGCTAGGGCTCTGCTAATTAAGCCCATATAGAATTTGAGTGGGGCAATGTTTGACCCTGGGGAAATTATGTACATCTAGTTGCATTAAAGCAGAGCAGCTACTGATGCGCAAGGTAAATGCAAAACTTTGATACTGTCCTGAATATCTAAGGCACTTCTCAGCCTGGCTCCTGTAGGCAGGATCTGGCCTTGCTGCTCTGCAGACCGTTTTTTTGCACAAAGGTTTGAATCCCATTGCAATGAACTGTGCGTATGTAGATTAGATGTGGTCCTCATGGCTGAATGCCCCAGCCTCAGGCCATGCAAATGATTCAGTCCAGCTGATGCAAGATGACAAAACCTCCAGATATTTATAGTAATTGGAACTGATTTACAGCCGAATTTGTTGGGAGCAGCTTGTTTGTTGGGTCTGCTCTCTTCCTATTCTACTGATTATGTTCTTTACTGGGTCTTAAATCTGCACAGCAGAAATAAGTACTTTAAAATAGAGGAAATGGAGTGAAGGGCTTGCAGTTGGATTAATTGTATAGGCTTCTTTGTGGTAAGCTGTGTCATGATAACATGAAAATGTATAGCAAGCACTTAATGAGCAGTTATTCATGAGGTTGTGGAGTCGCCATCCTTGGAGGTTTTTCAGACCTGGCTGGACAAGGCCTTGGCTGGGAGGATGTAGCTGGGGATAGTCCTTTTGAGCAGAGCGGTTGACCTCCTAAGGCCCCTTCCAACCCTAATTTTCTGATTTCTATGATTCTAAGTTTGATCCATAGGAGGAGCCAAAAAAATGTTTTGGCCGTAAAGACAGCACTACAGAAAGGATTTGAAATTCATATGAGCTGTAATCAATAGGAAGCACATTGTGGTTTTCATTCTCCGATGGGGATCTGCTGTTTACTGTTCATCTGGATGAACATAGTTCTGGCTGCAAGGAGTCATGGTGCATATGTACTTGAGAATGAAGTGCTTATTCAGGATCAGGCCTTTAGTCTCTACGATCTTGGTTTACACAGCCTGGTCCCCCTGTCCCCCATGAAAGCCTCTCGCACTTCTAGTAGGATGGTATTAGCATTTTAGAGCCCGGGCAGCCACCTGAGCTCTGTCAATGTGCTTCATTTACTTCTGCAAATCATAGAAAATGAGGTTTGGAAGGGGGCTCAGGAGGTCACATCTAGTTCAACCCCCTGCTCAACACAGGACCAGCCCCAACTGGTGAGTCCGAACAAGAATCCAGCATGGGAAATTAATTTTGGCCGATTCCCCACCTCTATCACTGTTGTTACGAGTCAATATGTTCGGTTATTGGGCCTCTCCATCTCTGACCAACTAAAATGTTGCAGGGTGATGGACTATTTTCTATCCCTGGTGCTGAGCCTGCTACTGCTGCTTTCCCACTTCCTGGGGCTGAGCTTGCTACAGCCCTCCGGTATGAAGATCTCTGTACCCAAGCTTGGGGGTTTTTTGTCTGGTTTTGCTGCGTTTTTGCCTGACAGACCATGCTCTGCCGTTCCCTTGAATTCCATCCTTGCTTTTTAGCACACGTCCCGCTCTAATGAGAACGAGTCGTCCCGAACATGCACACGCCGCAGGAAGGGTCACGCTCCGGCTCTGCCCCTGCCTGCGGCTGCTGTCAGGGCCTGTTAGTCCAAACAAATGCTGACACCTGATCTGAGCCAGAGCAAGAAGGACGAGATACTCAATCACAACTAAATCTTCATTCTTTGAGACAAACCTAGCGACAGGAGTCTGAACTAGCTTCCCAACCTAAATTGACCAGCAAGAAATACAAAACTAATCTCATTCTGCTCTCGTTTCCCCTCTCTTGCCCTGCCAAAAGCAATCATCGTGACTTGTCCGAATGGCTTTCTGACTTCGTTTGTCAGGTCTGAGGCCAGAGACGTTTCCAAGCTGTGCATTTGCAAATATATTTCTCGTCTTGTGTGTGTAGGGAGGTAGCTTAAGTCGATTCCAGCCTACACCTAATATTTTTGGCCTGATGTTCTCATTTATTACCACATAGGCGATTTATTGTCATTTTTAAAATTGACCAGTCTTCCTGAAAACACCTCAGCCCTGGGAATTTACTTTTTTTTTTTTTTTTTTCTAATAGTAAATATCCAGAAAAGTCACCCTAGGTTTTGCTGATTGTATGTAAAGCCCTTCAAAAATCGAGGTGCAGGACACTAGAAATAGCCTCTTTCATCCCCCCTTTCAAGGCAACTTGTGAATTGTCCATGCATCCTTGAAGTCTGAACCGTGTGAAAGATAAGGCCACCTTTGGTTCGAGAACAGAAGTTCGTACAATTCCTTTTTATAGTCCATCATTTTTTAATCTCTTTGAGTTGCCTTTAAGGTTTGCTACAAGGCTCCTCTGTGCGGGTGCATGCTTTAACCATACTGCCCCCATCACTTCCTCTCCCAGATAGATTTAATTTTGTTTATTTTAATGGGAACCCTTATTTTGAGGCACTCCTTGGTCCAGTTTCATTTGCATAACTGATTCTTCTGAAAATGGAAATGAATTTGATTTTAAAGTCATTGGTTTTTATTAGGGACAACGTTCCAGATCCTGCAGTTGAGAGAAGTGATTATAATCTTTGGCGTCCTATGTTGGAAAGTGGTTTCAGAGGTGAAAAAAGAGAGATATTCGAGAAAAATGGAGAGCATTAGATAGGATGTTGAAGACTTAAATGTTTTTTAACACTGGGAACAATTTAACTAAGGCTCTCATAAGTAACCATGTCTCTTTGTTTCCTTTTTCCTCCACCCCTTTCTATTTGTCCCTGTTTGGATTCCTCTGGGAACTACAGGAACCAACCGAAGGTAAGATTTAAAAATAATAATAATAATAATAAATGAAAAAACCGAACAACAACAAAATGCATCAAAACTTTTAACTGGTCGGTGAAAAGCTGTTGTCACTTTTTCAACCTTTGAATTGCCAAATATTTACCATTTAAAAAAACCCAGCAATGCAGTTAATCAGCTGTTGTGTAAGAAACTCCAAGCATCTCCTTGCTGTATATTCCTAGCCAAAAAATGAGTCACAGGAACAGATGAGAACATAGTTACATATTGAGTTAAGGATTGTGAATGAAAGCTTGTTTGTTTAAAAACATTTTCTGGTATTTGCATTAAAGCAAACTCACTGTTTGTTGCTGCCTACTTGGATTTCCTTTTTTTTTTTTTGTATTTGATTATGCTGATTTTTGTCTGCCTTGGCTTATTTGTGTATAGCCACACAGCTTTTTTTTTTAAACAACTTTAAAGCTGGCATGGTAAAATAAACTATATAAATGTCCAGTAAATTAGTTCCTAAGAAAAGGATAGTAGCCTGTATTTCAACCATCAAATCTATGCCTGCCTTTTCTAAAAGCTGCAAGATACCTACAGAAGTGGGTATTTTTTCCCGCCATCTTGCTGTTTTCAGCATACTAGTATGCTTGGGAGATATGGTCGCGTTGAAACCCCTACGGCATGTGCTGTTTAAACTTGAAGAGTTCATGGTATGGTTTTTCTTTGATTTGTAGCAAGTTGGGCAGTATTGGTGTGCAAATTTGCACGATTGGCATATTTTTAAGCAGGCTTGTTAGTTGTTCTGAGTGCACAAGAAGGGCTAAGTTGCTGCTGCTGCAAAGTCTAGCATAATCCAGATTCCTATTAAAATATCTCAAGGAACCAATATTATCTACAAACCATTGCAGGCTTTGCCTCTTGTCTTGTTTTGTTCTCATGACCAGTGCAATGGAAAAAAATAGATTTGATATGGAAGGCTTAGCAGAGCAATCTCCAACCATCCCTCTTTTAAGGGATGGTTGTTCATGGTTAGCAGAACACACATACTACGCAGTGGGCTTTAGCCAAGCAACACTTGGCTTTTCAAGTCTGTGCATAGCAAACCTTGAATCTGCCTGGAGTTTATAAGCTGCAAAAAGACTGAAATGGAGTTTGAAAGTGTAGATGTCTGACCTCTAACTGCCTGTGTGGTTTGTCCCCCTTGTCCCAAGTAGCATAGACTGCAGCCGACCAGTAGTATAAAATATTTCTGGGGAAGAGAAGAGCTAACTCAACTAAACCAAGACGAGAAGCAAACACCCAAGAGCAGCATGTGGGATTCCCCTCTGCTCTCCTCTCTGCTTTTAATGTAATTTTTGGCAGCCAGTATGAATGAAGATCAAAATATTTTGGCTTCCTCATGGTTTGTGGCTTTCTTTCTCATGCATTAAGTATAATGTGGTGTATGAGGTGGCTGACTTTTCTCCTGCTTACATTATAGATTAGATTTTTTTTAAAAATGAAATCAGACTGTTTGGTTTTTGGGTTTTTTGGTTTTTTTTAACTCAACTTTTTCAGAGCATTTCTGCATCCAATTATGATAAGTTGTTTTGAGAGCATCTGTTCATGAAGTCTGAATCTCCCAAGTGGATACTACTCTAATTGAAGCCAGCTTCTGTGAAGGCATAGTATCAAGTATGGAGTCCAAATGGGTTTCACCACAAAATTGAAACTTTTATATTTAGAAGCACTGTGAACTCTGACTTTTGCCAAAGTTGAAACCTTTTTAAAAATTTTTGCTTATATAAAATTACCCAAGTTGGGCTGCTGTTGTTTATCAGCAGCATGTGACTATATACAGCTGTTTTTACACAAGGGAGACATTGCTACCCTGAGGTGGTTTGTTTAATTCAGACACATGGAGAGACAGCGGGTAGATGAGACCAGGGGACATCTGTCAGTCTGCAGATTGAAGAAGGAAGATGTAGGCAAAGTAGGCTGGGAGAGGGGTTTTTGAAGGAAGAGGCAGAGCTCTTGGTTGTCATATGTTGAATATACAATAAAACTAAAGTGGTAAGAGCAGAAAATGGGCAAAGGAAGCACTTGGAAGAAGAGGAGTGCAGAAAGGATGTATGAAGAAATGAGAGCAAAGAACAGTCTTGCATGGGAGCTGCTGTATTTACCTGAGTACAATATGAGGTCTGCACCCCCACCCCCAATCAGCATGGGGGAAAAAGTGCCTGGTCTTGTATCTGCATACAAGCAAGCCTCATTAGATACATTGTTTATCATTAAAACTGCTGCCAAAAGCAGCATGTGCTCAGCAGTGGACACCAGCTATGAAGTGGATTAAATGCAGCTGACACTGAGCATGACTATAAAACACACGGCCCATGTTGGTCAAACATGCTGATGGGAACCTACCACAAGGCTAAATTAGGGCAGCCCATGTGGATAAGACATATGGTAGTGTTACCACCAGCTCTTTTTTTAGGTTGTGGTGAGCCACTACAGTGAATACATTTCAACTTCTTCACTCCCGCAGATGAGCTGCATCCTTTCCCATTTTCAATTATTCCTGTTTCTTCACTGGTCTTAAATATCTGGCCAACCTCACCAAATGGGGCTTCCAAACAGCTTAGCCAAAATCCTTCTACCGGCCCCTTGCCTGTCGCATGTGATTACTGTGGCCCACCCTCCATGAGGTGGAGCCAGAGAAGGTGGCTCCATGTCTCAATTGTATGTGAATTTTTGGAGGATCCCAGGGCTCATGACAAGAACATCCAGTTCCAGTTATAAGTGGGGGCTGATTAGCACCTGGATCCTTTGCAGGGGGGGTCTGGAGGAGACGCACCCATACTGAGCAATACTGGGCTGTGGAGTCATCGTGGCTTGATGCTGTTGACTCTGCTAAGGCCCAGCCCAACAAATTATATGGTAAATCATGAGCCTTTTGGCTTTGGACTAATATCCTACTGCCCAAGTGGTTTTACATATCTGGCAGGGGACATCCCCTTCTTCCCAGCCTGGAATGACTTGCTGCAGTTGAGGGTAGAGACCTATCCACTGCACTGTGGGTGGGCACCCCTGCGAGAGTCTCCAATAGCCTCCCTATGGCAGGATCTCGGCTGCACAATTTCTGGTGATGGGGGATTGCTCTTGGGGTCTCCGTCTAGCTTGCTCCTGTGGCCTTTTGGCAAGTGAGACTAGGGAGCATCTGAACCCCAAGGCCTCCGAACTTGGAGCTTGCATGCAGGATGCCTGCCATGGATTTGGGAGTATCTGAAGCCCTGGGCTGAAGAGTCCGGGAGGTAAGACACTTGCCAGTGGTAGCATCACACAGACATGTACGATCTGAGCTCTGCTCAGTCGATAATATTTGAAACTGTTTGGCTAATTTGGCCTGAAACACAAAATAAAAAAAAAAACTATAGGTACAGAAGTGTGTTTATGGAGTACCTGCGCTAAAACTTGCAGCAGTTTCAAAAATAGGTAAACTGCATCAATTCTGGTTGAACCAAGTCGGTAGCTACCTGTAGTCATTTGGCTATTTCGAGGTTAGCTTTTTCAAATTTGCCTCTCACTTCCGTATGCTCAGGGAGAGCAGGCTTTGACTGTAAGGAGCAGGGCAAGGGGCTGCAGGGGGAAGAAGTTGAGAAAGGCAAGGAGGCTACTTAGACCCCCAGATCTATTTTCCCTGCTGTAGCAATGGGAGGGGGACAGATTCAAGGCAAATGTCCAATAACCTGCAAAATTAGAACAAGTTTTATATATTTTCCATGTAGAGAATCTGATTACTGGGGGGTTGTCTTATGTTCAGGGGCATCGTGTATTTGAGTAACTATGATATCAGGTTTTGAAGTTGTAGGAGCTTCAGTTTGAAGTATAAAAATAGAAAGCAAATAAAGGTGGAGCCTTGTGGGTATTGTGGTTAGAATGGCAGCAGAGAGAGATGTCAGCTAACCTCCCTGTTTTTCTCTCTATATTAGGATGCCTTTTTGGTTGGACTGCTGGTTTTTACAGGATATCCCCTTTTTATTTTATAACAGGTGTTTGCTTACGATCACTGTTTCTGGTCTATGGATGAATCTGTCAAAGAAAAATATGCAGGTAATATTTATGTACTGTAGCTTTGTGCTCACTTTTCATATCTGTTGTCTAAGCAAAGTGCAAATGATCTCATTATAATGCAGTATTTGCCAAAGGGTACAGACCATATGGCATTGAAAACATTTTCCCTCTGTGGTTTGCCCATTGTTGGGTGGGGGAGAAAGAGAGAGAGAGAGAAAGCAGAATCTTAAATCATCCCTCCTTACTAGTTAAAGATAACATTTAAAGTAGTGGCAAGCAATAGATGCCTTACCACTGACCTGCAGCACAAGAAATTTGACACTTTGGTGCACAGAAATATCTCCACTTTTAACAATGCTATTCTAGAGGCATAGCTTTAAAAAAAAAAAAAAAAAATTTTTTTTTAGCATATAATTTGAGGCTCGGTACTAAACTCCTCTTCAGAATAAAGCTTCCCAGCATCAATGCCAGCTTCAGCAATGTGCTAATAATGTAGTTGATGCATCTTGCAGAACTATGGCCATTGTCTTTTTTATGGCTGCAGTGTTTTATAAGCCTAATCTTGCTCCTATTTAAGTCAATGAGAGTTTTACACTGAAGATCACCCCGCATTTTACCTACAGATAAGCTTGTGCATAGCTATTGGCTTGCATCAAGTTCCCTTGACTTCAGGGGACACAAAATGAAGCAGGTGCACAGATGTGAAGATGTAGGATGAGGACTAGGATGAGAGCCGTAGTAGTAGTAATAAGGCTGTCAATTCTTATTGTGTTCACCCTTCAGCAAAAAACTGCATTTTAATGTGAAACACACTGTAGAGCCTTCCCATGTTTGTGTGTTGGAGTCAGTGCTTCTGTATTCAGTGCCAGTGCCCTTATCTATCCCTTGCTCTTTTTTCTTTTCTTCTTCCTTTGGATCTAACCTTTTTGTACTTTGGGCACCTAAGTCTCCTTCCCAGAACTGAGGTAGACACATGGTTCACAGAAAGACTTTTGAACAGTTTAACTGCAGGCTGTTATGGGTTGCAAACGTTCAGTCTGGAGCAATCTTAGTTCTATCTTGCTTAAGCACTCAAGCAAAAATGTTCCTAATTTGAGTGTGCATTTCATTTGTGCAGAACTTCCAGGAGCAACTCTTGACTTCATAACAAATAGTAAAATAAACTGACTTGGTCACTGGGTGAGAATTTTCAGGGTATGTGAAAGACTTTTCCTGCTTGAAAGAAAATCTCAGGCCATGGAGTTCTGTATGTTTGACGTATGATTTAAAGTCGACATCTTTATGATGAGAAACTCTGAGTGATGCATTTGCAGTCTGTTACTGCTGTACACAAAACAAAAACCACCAACGCTTCCCCACCCCAGCTAAAAAAAAAAAAAAAAGGGTCAAACAAAAATTACATGTGGGCAGATTTACTTCTACTGTTACAGCAGAAACACTTTACCCTCTAATTTGTAATCCACTAGCCTTATACTCCAGTTCCCTCCCACATAGTTGTGATTACTTCTCTGCAAGGATTTAACAGCAAAGGCATCTAGCAAGCTTTTCTGTTGCTGTAATTTCATTTGCTTCTACAAATACTGTAAAAGATACTCTCTAGTAGACCATATGCTATTGCCTTAAATTCAAATCAAGTCACGGTTGCCAAAATGAAATCATATTTTGTAGTCCATTCTCTGTCACCAGTGCACTAAGTCCTGCAAGTTGGGTTGGGCAAGTTTTAGTGGATATTTTGGGTACTAATAGCAAATGCTTAAAGACACAAAACCAGAGTCAAATGTCATTTCTTTTAGGTTTCTGCTATTATAACTCAGGGGGCCTCTACATGAGACACTTACTGCAGAGTAGACTAATTAGCTGCGCAGTAAATGTCTTGCATCTAAACATGTGGCCCTATTAGCCTGGAGTAAACTAATTAATGCTGCAGCAGGGTAGTACTTGTAAACACAAGCACAATCCTTCAGTGGCATTATTTAGTGCACCATAATGCATGTGTAGATGCTAGAGGTGCACCGATATAGCGGTCCATATCGTATCGGCACCAATAAAAGGAAAATTGAGACTATCGGCAGTCAGCTTTTTTTGGCTGGCATAGCTGATAACATCACCAGTAAATGCTGCATGCATGTGTGCAGCTGCAGCATGCATACGGCCAGGAATGCAGCCCGGCAGCTTAGAGAGCAGCGCCTGGGCATTAGGTCTATGTGGGGGAAGGAGCATGGTGGGGTACATTGAGGCCCCCATGGTGAGGGAGGGAGTGGGGCAGGGGCAAGGGCAAGTGCTGCCTGGACACGGTGCGGGATGGAGTCATGGGCAGCTCATCTGGGGAGCGCAGAGGGGGCAAGGGAGGGAGGGTGGCTCCTGCTGCTGTGTGCACCCCTGGGGGAGACATGGGGGGGCATGTGCCTTCCCCCAGATTTGTGTACAGGTTGAGGGTGGGTTGCCTGCTGTGGGCTAGGAAGCCGGGGGCTGTGCTGCCTTCTTCCCAGCAGGGGCTGGGCTGGGGCTGCACTTGGGGGCTGGCGGCAATGGCCCTGGGAGGCGCGCCCCCCACCGTAACACCACTCCCAGTGCTGCCACCCACCCTGCCCAGCCCAGGCCTCCCTGCCAGGAAGTGGCTGATGTAGCCTCTGGGTCCGAGCCTGCAGCAGGCAGCCCATCCTCGCCCTGGGCACAAATCCAGGGGGGCATATGCCTCTCCTGGAGGTGTGCACAACAGTGTGAGCCACCCCCTGGAAAAGCCGTCCATGGCTCTGTCCCGCACCCCACCATGTCTGGGCAGTGCCTGCCCTTGCCTCTGTCCCAGCCCCATTCCCTCTCCCACCATGGGGGCCTCGATGTGCGCTCCCCCTGCCCAGACTTATCACCCAGACACTGCTCTCCAAGCTGCTGGGCTGCATATTGGCTATCAGATTGGTATCAGCCCATATGACTGCCTAATAATCGGCCATCGGTATTGGCCAAAAAAATCTGTATTGCTGCACCCCTAGTAGATGTTGACGGGGCTGGCTGGGCCATGAAAGTGCTTCAGGGCAGGGGCTGCCTGCTGGTTAGCCTCGTGCTGCCACACCCTTGTGCCCCAGGCTGGCGGGCTGACCCCTTGGACCACCTGCCAGCCAAAGCTGCTCCAACCCAATTCGACATGCTACAGTCCCAGGAACATATGAAGATGCAGTGCCTGGGAGCCATAAACTCTGGCGTGATAAGCGCCGGAGTTTATTGCTTTGTCTTATAGCATATATAGGTGCGCCCTCAGATGACTTCAGCAGAGTAACTCCAGGTGTGCACCCCCTATCCCATCCTTACATAACTTTATTAACAGAGATATATTTCATACCACCGGACCTTTCCTCTTCTTATCCCTACACTGTGTCTCCCTCAGTTTAATGTTATAGGGTCTGTAAAAGTTGCTTCAGCTTCATTTTTTGTTTTATCTTAGGTCAAGATGTTGTTTTCAAGTGCCTTGGAGAGAATATTCTTCAGAATGCCTTTGAAGGTTACAACGCATGCATCTTTGCCTACGGGCAGACGGGTATGTTAGTCCAAGGTGGAAACAGCAGCACCCGTGATGAGAGAGGGCGTGTGCATGTGTGTTTTCTCATGGTATTCTTGTTCTTTGGCTGGCTGTGTGCCATTGTAACTTTTTCCCTTAATGCAGTACAGAGAAGTGGTGAGTGTTTTAAATATTTGTTGCTATGGATCTGCAATGAGAAGGTTTTTTTGTCCCCAAGGACAAGGAATCAAATTTTGCTAGCTTGTGTTGCCCTGCTACCCTTCTTTCCCATGTTTCCAGATCGGTATCTCTTGTGTGATCATTCACTGTCCTTGAGTTTAGCATGTGTTTAATATTTTTTGATGGAAAATCCTGACTCTGCAGCTGAGAGGGACTTTGTTCATCATTTTTGATTTAATAAACAGTGATGGCTTGGCTTGTTTAACTGATTTACTTGTGCTGTGTAGGTATGACACTTGGGTAGGTGTCTTAAATGATGCCCTTGAGAAGACTGCATCTCTGTGATAAGTCCTTTTAGTTTAGAGTAACCTTTTGTGTTATCTTTTTTAGTGTAATTTTTTTTTCTTGTATGGAGGCCTTCCCTTTAATTGATTGGTGTATTGGACCCTTTACATAGATTTGGCATAAAGATCTTTCACTAAAAAGTTCAAAGTAATTCTCCTTCCCACCCAAAAATCCCAAGTAGCACTGTTGTTAAAAACTCTAACTGTTGCTTCAAAAATACAGGATCTGGAAAATCATACACGATGATGGGTACTGCTGACCAGCCTGGATTAATCCCTCGGCTCTGCAGCGGACTCTTTGAAAGGGCACAGAAGGAGGAAAATGAAGAACAGAGTTTCAAGGTGGAAGTGTCTTACATGGAAATTTACAATGAGAAAGTTCGAGATCTCCTTGACCCCAAAGGGTAAGCCATGTGCATGTGACAAACTCCAGCTCACAGATAGTATAATACTCTCATTTTCATGAGCTAAGACTTTATGCATAATGTGCTCACGGGCTACCTTTCAGCTGTCCTAGCAGAATGCAAGGCTTATCTTTCCAGCAGGTTGTTGTAGTGTTCCTGAGCTCCCCAACCCAGGAGTTGCTCTGTTTAAAGACCCAATTTAAACCAAATATACCTGGATGCTGAAATTTGTTTTTATGATGTGAGAATTGTGGGATTGTCAACATTAGCACATCAGATGAGCATGTGCATCTTTTCATGTTATATACTAACTTTCTGCTTTGTACTGTAGCTACAAAATCTCATCCTATGCATTTGAAACCTGCTAGAGTTTTTAGTAGAACCACATTTGTCTTTATTGTACTTAACTGGATAATTTTTTATTTTAACAGAAGTCGGCAGTCACTGAAAGTGAGAGAACATAATGTCTTTGGTCCCTATGTCGATGGGCTTTCTAAACTGGCTGTTGCTAGCTACAAGGTAAGACACGATTGTAGGGAAGGAATATGCTTAAAATTGAAATTCTTGCTGCCGTTGCTCAAGGAAGTGAAGGTAACTTTTATATTGTGTCTGTGGAGTTTTAAGAGAGGCTGTAGAGATTAGGAAAAGATATGCTTTAAGACATCCCCGTAGGGAGTTTTAAATGTGTGAGAACTACCCTGTATCATCAGCATTATTTTAAAAATAGTAGAGGGTACAGAAAACTTAAAGAACTGGGTTTAATCGTTCTTTTTTGCTTATACTAACCCCTAGCAGTAGTAACCTAGGGCCAGATGCAAATTTTTCTTGGAGGCATCCAAGTTTCAAAGCTAATAGAGGTCAAACTCTTTCCACTGGCAGCAAAATTCCTTAAGCATTTAAATTAACCTCTGTTTGGGCTTGAAAAGTTCCCGAGAGAACTTGTGCGCAGACATACACATGCATGCACACTCAGTCTATATCATGTGCTTATGCACCAAACGCCCACCCAATCTCCATTGCAATGCAAACAGGCTAGCAATTTTTAAAGTTCACCTAAATCCTTAATCTTTTAGGATTTTCTGCAGAATGTGCCCAATACCTGATTGGCACTGACAGCATAAACGCAGACCCCCACAATCACACTCAGACGTGGGTCAGGTGATGCATGGTAGGCTTTTAATCGGATCATTTGTTTGGGAAGCAAGACTGGGGTTCTTAGGCCTTCCTGAGCCTGAGGGGACTAAAACTTATTTCTTTCACCTCCCAGAAGAGTGCACTAAGCCCTAGACCCATGGGTCTCAACCTTTTTAGACTCAAGGCACTCCTTGTTAAACTCAAGGCAGCCTCAGAAAAAGCTAACTCTTAGCTTTCATTGACTGCAGAAAAATTATCAAGCAATTCTTCTGTTGCGAAGACCTCAGAAAGACTGCCACAGGTCAGAAGTTTTCTGACACTACGGATTCCTATTTGAAATACCCAGGTTTATCTTGCAAGCCATTTGTTAGGTGTTTGTATACCTAGCATTACTAATATGCCGTAGCACCCTCATTGAGAACCACTGCACTAGGGTGAGGTGAGTTGTCCCCTCCATGCCTCCTGTGGAAACTAGACCACTTGGTAGTCAAGAGTACAAAAGCCAAGAGACCTGAAAGAGAACAAGCAAGAGGGAGAATAACTGCAGCTAATGAAGAGGAAACTTTAGGGAGGAAGGAAACGGGTTCTGGCCCTTGCGCCCTGGGTGATAGCAGGAACCAGAAACCAGTCCTCTCACCTCCTGAGGGAGTATCCTTGTCACTGAACTGCAGACCCAAGCTTCCTCATACTGCTGTCTTTCTGGCCCCATGACTTATGTCTTCTTGGCTGCCCAATGCTTTGCTTCCAGCAGGAAGAGTTGGGATGGGTGGGGAGGACACACAAGCTAGCCAGTTATCTGCTGGGTTGGGTATTTTCTTTGGAAGTGGGAGAGGTGGACCTGAATCCCTGAGGGGGTCCTGCAGCCCAGTTCCCCAGCTCGTGGGTGGATGCTCTAATTACTGGACTCTTGAGTATATTCAAGAATGGAAATCACTATGGGTACTGAAGGATCATTTTGGGATCCAGAATGAATTAAGACAACAGAGGTCCCTAATTTTCGGCTCAGAATTGGTGTCCAAAGGGAGGCAGAGTTCAGACACGCCCCTGTGCCCTACCGTTTCATGTAGCTTGCTATAGATACCTAATAAGTGTCTAAATGCCATGAGGCAATCAGGACTCATAGTAGTGATGGTATCTTTTATTAGGCCAACAAGATTTTTGCAAAAAGATGTCTTTAATTGAAAGCTTTCGGGCACAAACACCCTTCATCAGGTATTGGAGAAAAGATTGTAAAAGTTCTCCTGGGTAGAAATGAAAGTTCATATTTCATAGGATTTCACAGAGGCGTCAATAGATGGAAAACTCGTCTGGGCAGTCAGTTCATAGCTGGTATGAAGCCTCTCACCTCCTGTGAGGATCTGTGATGATGCAGAGTACCTTGAAACAAAAGCAGGAGCAGGATCTCTGGTTTCAGGTGGTCACAGTTGCTTCCTGCTTGGGAAAATATAAAGATTTCATTTTAAAAAATCAGCTAAAAATTCAATCTTGTAAATCTATGATAAATTTTATAAATCTATGATAAATGCTATGAGTCTGCCTTTGAAGGTGGTCTCCTGTGTTCACTAACTGTAGAAATCCTAGGTCTCTAAGCTTGTCAATCTTGGATCAAGTTCCTTGGGCAAGATGCTTATTTTTCGGCCTTGCAGCTCTGAAGTGGAGGTCTTTCCAAGAGCTGCTTGCATCTGGTCTCTTGAATGAGTGAACGAGAGCTGCTTGGTGGTGCAGCATGGTGTTGAGGAAAGTTTGTGTAATGCAAACGGGGGAGAAAGTAGAGGCTGAAATTCTGCAGTATTTTACAAATGAATTGTTGTTTTAGTTTCATAGTTAGTAGGGTCGGAAGGGACCTGAGCAGATCACCAAGTCCAACCCCTTTGCTTTTCTAAGCTATTGCTCTGTGCAGCCAGTCAAACCAAAGAATAAAAAGAATGAAGCCTCCTTCCCCTGTTCCCCTTTCCCAATCAAAGTAAAAGTTCTGGATAGTATACACAGCAGTGGCATTGCTTAAATTAATTAGGCGAGTTGTTGTCAGTTATCCTTAAATTATAGTAATAAGATATTGTGACATTATTTTTAGAGGCTAAAAACATTCAAACCAGTGTGAAATCTGCATTTATTGTACTTATCAATTTGTTATATTATTAAAATTGTTAATGAGATCACAAATGAGTAAAGGCTGCAAAAACTTTTATTTAGGACATAGAGTCGCTGATGTCTGAGGGTAACAAATCCCGGACAGTAGCTGCCACCAACATGAATGAGGAGAGCAGTCGGTCCCATGCAGTCTTCAAGATCACGCTCACACACACCCTGTATGATGTGCAATCAGGGGTAAGTAACAGCAAGTCTCCTGTGGTCGAACAGATTCTAATCTGCTTCTACACACATGTGATGAAACCAAGCTTTTAAAGACACTATGATAAGCAAGTGAGCCTGAAGTCTGCCATATACTGATATAATGACTGCACACCCGAAGTCATAGCAGACTTGGTGAGGATCCATCTCTCAGTCATCGTATCTGAAACCACAAAACATTTATTATTAAAGCAAGAGCTTGCAATCAATTTGGAGGCCAGGTGGAAGAAAACAGCATCTGACATTTAGAGGCAAAAATAGAGGTTTGGGGAAAAATGTGTGAATAGACAACTGGCTCTCCTTGTTGAGAGAATATTTCTTGAAAGCAGGCTACAAAACGAATAAATCTTTGGGCATCTGTACAACTTCCTCATTGCAGCTTTTTTCCAGAAATATTTTCAAATGTATTGCTGAAAGTGTTACAATACACTTCTGTCTTTATTAAATATTTATAAACATTTGAGAAATGTGAAAGTGGTATTTTTCTTGAACAGGTGTGTTTTTCCTCCAATTCTGCCTGCCTTTTTTTGGTGGGAAACGTGTACTTTTCCATTTGACTTTCTCTAAACCTGCAAGAAAACTCTCTACCTAAACCAGCTAGTTTTAATATGTTAAGTTATGCTGGACTCTTCTACTGTTAGTCCTCTAGGGAGCCTGTGGCTTTTCTAAAGGCAAAGTTGAAAATGATTCACGTACCAATTTTCATTCCTCTGGCCCAGATAAAAACCATCAAACCCTCCCACCCTTGCTAGTTTAATATAGTGAAGGGTAAAAGTTGAAATGCCTGTTTTTAAGAGGCCCAGAGGTGGTTATTTTTGTTTAGCCTGAAGCCAGACAGAAGGTAGAGCAGGGTGGCACCTTAGAGGCTAACTCATTCAGAGAGGCACGGACTTTCATAGGCAACACCCTTCTTCATCAGATGCCAGCATGAGACACCCTCCTGCATACAGATCCCAACATCGTCAGCATCTGCCCCCATTCCCTAGATGCCTTCTTTGCCTCCTGGTCATCTTCCCCAGACCTGAAATCTGTATCTCTGCCCGGCCCCCCTGACGAATTCTCTTCTCCCACGTCAGTACAGTTGCTGTCCCTCTCTCTGCCCCCTCTGATTCCACAACATCAATTCTTCCCCCAACAGGATCTCCAGTTCCTCCCTCAGTTTTAAGTTTGATCCCTCAGCACATTCCCCCTGCACCAATTATTGTGCATTTCCCCTGTCGCCTCAACATCTTTTCTCTTCCACATCTTGGACCCATTATGGTTTGGATGGGATGATCTTGGCTCAGGCAAGGGGTTGGACTAGATGACCTCTGGAGGTCCCTTCTGGCCCACTGCCCAATGATTCTCTGTGATTGATAACCAGTTTGTTTCCCAGCTGCCAAAATCCTTTCTGTCCCTCCCATTCTCCTCTTCTACTTCCTTCCTCCTTGCGCACCCTAGGAGGGGGTGGGTCATCAATCCCACTTGGCCCATTTCCTTGAAGTGGGGTGCAGCTTTCAGTGGCCTTTCTGCTTGGGGTCCAGCATACTAACACCCTTGGGCAGGCTGATGCACATCTCCTCCACGCCATGAGTTACCCCACTCAGCTGAAGCACAAGCAGAGATCATACCGACACAAAAGGGGAAGGTGTCAAGTTGGACAACTGCAAGCTTCAGACCCCAAAAGTAGCATTATCTCTGTTGGGGTTTGGTACTTATGCATCCTCTCCCTCCCTCTGGGGTCTCCTGTACAGAGTGAGGCTTCCTACAGGGTGAGCCTATCCCAAGGAGGCAACAAATCTGTGTTGAGATTGGCCGGCAGGAGGGTGTTTTAAGCTAGCATCTGGCGAAGTAGGCTGTTGCCTACAAAAGCTCATGCCTCTGAACTGGCTGGTCTCTTAAGATACCAGCCAACCTGCCTTGCCTTTTATTTTTTAAGAAGGTCTGCGGAAGAGATGTGGAAAACACTACTGTTATCTTTGGTGTTAACCTCTGTCCTTTTTAAAGTATTAAATTCTAACACACATCTTATCTTATTCAGTCTCATCTTCAAAGAGCGATGCATCCTGAGTACACGGCAAGGTTAGGATTTAGGAGTCTGTAGAACCTCTGAAAAAGAAATCCATTTTCGAGTTTAAACAAGACAGAGGTATCAGATTGAGCATCCGGGTCTGTTACTCCTGGGACACTGCATATGGGTTCCCTCCACTACCACCCTTCTTACTTTACACCTGACTGATATTGGTTTTTTCCCCCTTTTTCTGGTACCTTCAGCCAGTGAATGGGTTGCACTCTTGGAGTTCCTGGTGTATCCTTTATTATCATTTTAGTTGCTGCCTTGAAAACAATAGGATTGATTCAGAACACTGTGCTTGTGTTATGCATTTGTTTGTAATTTTTCAAACTTGTTGGATAGGAGGCCTAAAGTAACGAACGCAACCTAGGCCACGTCTACACATGCGCATTTACTGCGCAGTAACCAAAATTACTGTGTAATGCAGGTGAGCATCTACATGCGCACGCCTGTACTGCACAGTCAATATGGTGACTTACGCCAACTTGAGCATAAATTTTGATACCTGCATCATGCAGGTATTAAATTTATGCCCAATTAGTTACTGCACAGTAATGCATGTGTGGACACTTCACTGCACAGTAACACTGTGTATGTGGACTGACGTGGGATTAACTTTATTCCCGAATCAGTCCACACACAGAATTAATGTGCTTTAGCACCTGCATGTGTAGACACCGGCCTATTCCCACTTAATGTGCAGTAAATTTAAGCCAGTTTAAATGCACGTGTAGACACGCCCCTACATTCTTATTAGAAGCCTTGATCAATTATAGAACTTCACGGTGAGTCACTGTTTTTAATAGTAACTTTTGTCCTGTGATTTCCTCAGACATCAGGTGAGAAGGTGGGCAAGCTGAGTCTGGTGGACTTGGCAGGCAGTGAAAGAGCAACTAAGACGGGAGCTGCAGGTGACAGGCTGAAGGAAGGAAGCAACATTAACAAGTAAGGCTGTTGGTAACATTTCCCCTTCCCTCCTCAATTGTCTCGTTAATATAGCCATAAAAGAAATAGGTATGACAAACCTCTGACCCATGGTTAACCCAATGAGATTTCTGTAAAGTACTCGTGACCAGGGGGTTCCTTCTCTGGCTTTTCCCCCTTCCCCCTACAAAAAAAAAAAAAATTGTCTTCCATATTTTAGTATGATCTATACACATGCTATGTTTTTAATGTTTTGCTTATGTTTCCTCCAACGATTGTCATCTAATGTTTGTAAAGGCCAAAAAATGATACTTGGATAAGAATATAGCTTGTACCCAAAGAGAATAGTCTGAATAGAGGTGGTGCTGGCTAATTTTTTTTACAGCTGTTTTTCTGCCTGACCCTGCACGTCTGTACTTCCATTCATGGGAAATCCTTAAGCAGAGCCGATAATTTTGCCCAAATGATGTGGGTATATTGGGGACTGAAGCAGCTGTCATTTGGGCAGGGGGACCACATACTACATTTGGGTAGTTGCTAATAGGGTAGATACCAATGAAATGATAATTCTTCCAAGCTAAAAAATCATTTGACTGCTGAAATAACATTGGCACAGACTGGGCAGCATTTGAGTGTTTGTGGAAGCCCAGTTTAAAAATCCACTCTCGATGCAGATCTTTCCCATTCTTAATGGCCGGTCACTCTTCCTGCAGGTCCCTCACAACCCTTGGGCTTGTGATTTCTGCCCTAGCTGATCAAGCTGCTGGGAAGAACAAGAACAAATTTGTTCCCTATCGCGATTCTGTGCTCACTTGGTTACTTAAAGTAAGTAACGTCCTTGTATGTATCTGGTATGAGAGGAAGGGGCTGAGGGTGGGGGGTGGGACAAGAGCGGGATAAATTTTCCTTCAAAGCAATTAAAATACCATTATTCTGTAATCCTAATTTTGGTCTGTAGTTTATATGAAGCAGCCTTGTGTATGAAGGATTAGCTGAGTCTAGTCCTCCCAGACCAAATACATTCTTTTGCCTGCCCTGATTAAGATTAACCCTGTGATGGACAAAGGCATAAAGCAGGGTTGTCCAGCTGGGGCTCCACAGGATGCATCTGAGCTGTGAAGGGTTAAAGTGCAGCCTGTGGTCTCCCATGGGTCTGCCACCCTGGAGTCTCTGGGGAGGGAAGCCTGGCAGAAGAGGGCTGGTAAGCTCTCTGCCCAAGCAGGGGGAGGGAGGGGCAGGGTCTTACCTGCATGGCAGTGGGGGCAAAGTTGAGAACCCATCCATTCAACAACAGGAGGGCTTGTGCTGCTTGCCTGGCAGCAGCAGGGTTGAAAGGGAGCTTGGCTCACCTGCATGGCACCAGGGCACTTGTGTGGGGGACAGGGCTCACATCACTTGTAGTGAGAGGGGGCATAGGGGCCGCACACTCGAGCATGCACCTGGGGCCCTCAACCAGTGAGGTGTGCAGCCTTCCTGCCCTCTGAAACTGGACAGCTTTGGCATAAAGCATATTTTAAGACAAACTAATAAATATTTCAGCCTTTTTTAAAAAAATTTTTAGTCCATTCCCTAATTGCTGCTCAGAGGGCCCGGAGACTGATTTAACTTGGCGATCTCCTTGTTATGTAACTTAAATTTATACAGTGTCCTGGGTGACATGGTTAACTTCAGAGATTTTGAATAAGATGATTATCCCTTTGCTTGAACTCAACAAGGCTGTAATGACAAAGCACTTTCTAACCAGATTCGAGGGATGGGGTCAGAGGCGGTCATAGACTTGCCCTCCTGTGAAACTAGCAGTTCTGCAATCAGTTAATACTGCAAAAGTGTCTGCAGTGAAGATGGTGTAAAAAAAAAATGGAACTGGCTCTAGGAGGACTTTAAGTGAAGGCCAGTGAGGTGTAAAGGGAAACTTGAGATGGCAGGCTTCTGCAAGCCAGCTCCCACGTACGTCCAAAAAGAATCACGGGCCTTTAGTTTTCTGTGGGTGTGTCTACAGGTGAATTTGCATGCACCTGAGCTAAATACACCTTAATCTAAGGTGCATTAAGGTGATTCAAGTGCACGTCTACATGTGCATGCCTTAAGTTGCCTTAATGCAGCTTGCTGGGTGAATGTGTTGGCAGCCTGCCCTGGGCTGCACCCTGGACAGCCCCCCAGAGCCCACGATAGCATAGCTGGACAGTGCAGCCCAGTGGCAACCGAGGGGATGAGAGCCTCCAGTCCCCCTGGCGATCGGCCTTGTTGATGTACACAGCATTAAGGTTCCTACACTTCCCTTAAGGTGCCTTAACTATTTGTGCCTAAATTTTATACCTGCATTATGGAGGTATCAAATTTAGATGCAATTAGCCTAAAATTGCCATTTTTAAGGCGCATTAAGGGTGCACATTTGTAGACCCACACCCTTAGTGCACCTTAAACATGGTCATTTTAGGCTAATCATATTTAAAAGAGGAACGTGTAGATACACTGTATTTGTAGCCTCTACCACCTCTTGCCACAGGTTGTAAAAGCATGACAAGCTTGTGTTTGCCCAAATATTTCATGTTGGGCTGAGAGCTGAGGACAGTGTGAACATCCTCTTCCCTCTTCATTTTTTATTCTCTGAACAAGCCACTGTTAGATGAAGAGCAAGTGTGAAGGATGCCATTTAAAAGTCAGTCAATTGATTATCTTACTTATAGTGAGAGAGATCTTTTAAATCCTTTTATAGTTTTACCTGCTACAGACTGACTGATTGACTGGGTATTGGAGTTAGTTGGATTATAGAGCTTCACACCCCAAAGATGCATCAGGACTCAAGTTTTATTTTGTGATGTTTGTAATTACCTGGTTTTCACAGAGATTGCAAATGTTAAAATATATCACAATTAAGTTGGTTCAAACCTTGGTAAATTATCTCTTTCTCCCTTACTCCCTTTTTCTGTCAAAGGGTGATTTTGCTGCTTGTTGGTACAAAAATGTAAGCTGGAAAAGGAAACAGATTTTTTTACCGTGAGTCATTTTAGTTAGCCCTCTTACCTGGCGATTGCTGAGATTAAACTCTGGCCTTTGCAGGACTGCATTCTGCCTCATCACCCGCGCAACATTTCTAGTGAGCTCTTTAAACTTATTTGAATCGTACTTTCCTATAATTTGTTCGCAAATATGAAAACTTGAGCTGCAGGATAGAGAGATACTTGAAATTTTCCCATAGGGAAATTTTCAAAGTTGACCTTTATCGCAGTTGATTTACCTATTGGGCTAAACGCAGAAGCAAGATGAAAGGTCAAATGCTGTACCCCATTTGACATGTCAAGTCCTGCCTTTCTCAGGCTTGAATAATGAATCTTCCAGCAATACTGCCTCATCAGTGAACTGATACTAAATCCCAAACATTACAGTGGTGCGGGTTGTAGAGAAGAAGCTGAATAGATTAGCAGAAGTGGTGCATTTTGTTTTTCTGGCTGGATAGCGAATCCCTTTTCACTGTGCAACTTCCTGGAAAGCTTTTTAGTAACATGGAAATGTATTCTTGTGTATGTAATTACTGTCGTGATACAAGTACACTCTGCCTTTGCACACCATTGTGGTCAGCTACGTTTAGAGTGTCCTTCAGTTTTCTGCAGTAATGAGTGCAGTTGTAACGGAGTCTGAAGAAGCAGAAGTGGAAACCTTTGTGCAGGGTTTCCCACGTTGTTGTTGGGATTAGTTATGGCGATTTAGTTTCTAAACAAAATCCAGCGAGCAGCCTGAGATTCATGTTTAGCACCTGCCTGATCCATTGTAGCAAAGATGACAATGGCATGCACAGAACGCACTTTGGCTCAGAAACAGAAGCCCACTTTTTGTTCTGCCCTGTTCCGAGTAAATGCCCTTTGTCCTGTTAACATTCAGCCACGTTCAAATCCAGATACGGGCTTAATTTTACAAACAAGCTCATTTAAGCGCAACTTCATTAAAGGGGGTGAAGTTCTCAATGGATCCTAGTAAGAGCATTTCTTAGAAATACAATTAAAGCTCAAGAAATGAAGCAGGATTGTTATAAAAGCCCACAATTGGAAACTTTAGACAGTTCACATTTTCCTTTTCATTATAACACAAAAGGAAAGACTATTCTTTAGTACTGAGGGAGCACCCGTTTTGCCATTTTACTTGTATATTGCCTATATACTTTTTATATTTGAAAACTATTGTCTTTTCTTACTGTGCTGTTTTTAAGCCCATTAGCCCAGCGGTTCTCAACCTTTTTGGTTCCAGGACCTGTTTGTAAACATCAATGGCCAGTCCTAACCCATTGCCTTTCACTCCCAACCCACTGCCCTCCACCCCCAGGTCCCAGTCCCCCAGTCTATGGGGTACTGGTGCCCCAAGCAGCCCCTCGCATGCTGGAGCTCTGCCAGCCTGCAAGGGAAAAGCCACAGTTCCCCATGTTTTTCTTCTTTAAACAAGAATCCTTTTTAAAGTTCATTCTCCACCCTTTCATATATTTTTGCAACCCACTTTTGGGTCGTGAGCCACGGGTTGAGAATCGCTGCTCTAGACTCAAGCCAGGGCCGTCCTTTCCCTCTTTTGGAGAAGCGCGTTGTGGAGTCTACTGTAAATAGATGGCGAGAGTTGGGGCTTCTGGGTTTTCTTCCCAGGTGTGCGGGTTTGGGCCAGCTCATTTAATATTCCAGTGCTCATTGTCCACTTTCTGCAACCGGCACAGCAACATCCATTCATGTTAAATGTTATAGGGATGTTTTCAGCTGGCTTCGGAAGTTTTTAGTAACTCCTTTTGCTGCAAAGAAGGCATTCAAATTCACCCTAGTGGAAAATCTTGCCGTTCGTGTTAAGAACATACTTGAAGATCCTGGGAGGGAGAGTGTCGGGGCGCAGTCTTGTTCCTAGTGAAAGGAGGAACGTGCAGTAGTGAATTTGCTCAGAAAAGGCAACCCGTTCGCTGATGAACTCCTGAGGGTTTTCGCTGCTTTTTTTTTTTTTGTCGATGACATTATTGCATGTCCCGGGCTTCGCTTCTCCGTCCTTTTGGGGTTTTTGGGCAGGGGGCGGTTTATTTTATTTTATTTTAATTCACTTTACTCTGTGGAACAACAATTATATCATGAAGTATTTTCTAGTACCACTGGCTTGTTGGGAATCTCTAAATCTTCACATTCCAATAATCTTGGTGCCAATGCAGACTTTAGTCATCTTCTTTTCCCCTTCTCCCTATGCAGTTATATCCATCCTTCTTCTACCTGGATCACACACTAAGATCAACCTTTGCAGATGGATTTATAAATCCATTCTGTGAGTCTAGCTCCCCATTCGCTCTTCCTGCTTTGCCTGAGAAGAGCCAGGGGACTTGCACAATAAAGAATTGCACATAAAACTGAATGGGATGGCCTGGAACTGGGCCTGGACAGGCAACACAGTGATGGAGGTACTTTAGAAAATTAATAATGGGTGGGTTGTGAACCATGCTGTGCCACTGTAACAGCCTATAGAGGAGAGCTCCAATTCAGCTGATGGATTAATTAACCTTATTTTAAAGCTAATTGGTTCAGTAGGCAGACATTCCCAAAGTGCAGACCATGAAGACTTTCTATGGAGCTTAAAAAGTGCCTGGATTTTCCTTGTTAAACTGAAGCAGACACACAACACTGCCAACCCTCGCTGAGCGTGATTTCTAATTTCTGAAAGCTGGTATAGCCGTTCTAGAAACGGGTGGGCGGGGGAAGAGGACACTGAATAGGGGAGACGTGCTTCTTGGGTTTCCTATGCTCTCAAGTCATTGCAGTGTCAGTACATGCTTGCTTTACTGCAGCCTTCTTGCAAGGCAAAGTGATTTGCAAAGAAAGCAGTAACAGCTTTTCAGGCACACAGGAAGGAAGAGATAAAGATAATGCATTCCTATAGGCTGGTGGGTTTTTATTCTTCATGCCTAGAAGCCTAGGCCTGAACCTCCGGATGCCGCTGTACTTCGTGCCATATAAACATTGAATTAGAAAAAAAATCTCCACCCCAAAAATCTTACAATGTAAGAGCAAGACAAATGGAGGCAGGCAGAGCATAAGGAAACACAGAAATAACATTGGTAAACACAAAAGAGGCTGGTTTCAGCACACAACAGGTTTTTGAAGTTATCAGAGCAAAAAAGCATTTGAATGGGAGATGTGAATGAAAACTTAAATGAACATTATTATGCAACTTTAACAGCAATATTTATAAATGAAATCAGTAGACAAATTGGTAATAGAGACATTGTTTCCATGATGCCTAGACTTCACAGGTAATTTTAAACTTACAGAGTTGTGTGGGAATTTTTCACTGGAAAATCATTCTGAAGGAAAGGAAAGTTTCTGCAAATTCTGCAATTTTCCACCCAAATCAAAATATTTCCTTCCATGGTTTGACAAAAATATGTTTTTGAACGTATCAAAAACATTGCGTTTTAGGTCATTTTTACAAAATGTTGCGTTTCATTTTCTTATTGACTGATTGCCTCACTGGACTATACACTTCTGTTCAGTTTGGGGGCTCCTGGTGTGTTTGTTGGGAGAATTGGTCATTTCAAGTACTAGAACTTCAGCTTCATGTTCAAAATAAAACTGAGCCCAAAATCGCAGGATGGCATTTCCAAGTATAAATTTAAAACGGTATTAATTGCTTTGAAATAGAATGATCTTTCTTAATTACTACAACTTTAAAATACAATTTTTTTAAAAAAATAGTGGACAGTCTTGGGCTGGCAAAGGATTGGATGGGCGATCAGACCTAGTGGGTTGCCTTCATGCTTAATCTGTGTTATCCTGGAAGAAAGGCTTAGATTTAAAACCAGCAAAACAGCCACTGAATCCTCCAAGCAATTTATGAACAAATCTGAAAACTACTAAGCAGCCCGTTCTCAGTGGTGGGGTGTTACGGGAAACTTAGGGCTGCAGTAACCAAGGTAGTTACAGCTCAGGGAGCATAACGTCCCCTTTCTCCCCTTCTTTTTTAGACATTTCTTCCCGGTCTTGCTGGTAGGGGGTGGAGTCCAATTAAGGAGAAGGTCACTGTGCAAAAAAGTTTAAGATCCATTGTCCCAAACAATTTTTTCATTTGATACAGAGAATAGGGATCTCCAAGTCTAGTAACAGCAGCCCCTTTTTAAAGAGAGATCCACTCCCCCCAGTACATTTTTTTGAATAGTTACTATTTTTTCTTTTGAAGACATTTTTCCCCCCCCGATGTGTGTTTAAACAAGAGTTGATTCAATCTTGACTGTAGCTAATTAAAACTATGGCTGGCTGGCTTTTTTAAAAAAAAGGAAAAGTCTTACAGTGTGCTTTCTTAAAAATGCATAACAATTGGAAAAGTGTCAGGATTAACTGGTATAAACTTCTTCTGACTAACTTGCACAGTACAGCTTGTGTGGGGTATCGGTGCCTCTTTGTAAAACGGTCCCAGATGGACCTCGCTGGTGTGCAGGTGTCCCCGTGAGATTGCCAGGAAGGTTACCGTTACTTTCTAAAAATGTGAATTTAGTCCTTGTAGCTAGCCTGTTCATTAATGTGGAGGGATGGGCAGAGCCCCTGAAAACGGCTCATTCAGATGACGAATGAATCCCACTGAGGCTGGACATCAGCCTGGCAGCTCTGGAGACTGAAGTTCTCTGTCTCACCCAGTGAAATACAAAATAGACAAGAAAAAGGCACATTTCTCTTCGCTCAGAAGGGACTGTTAAGGACAAGAAAAGTGTTCAGTAATGCTGTAGCCTGCCATCTGAGACTAAAAGTGGTTGGCAATTGCTGCAAGCCTGGTATTTCCTAAATATCCTCAACAGGATTGCCTCGTGAGATGAGGTAGGGATATATGCGTGTGCATGCATTCCTGTTTCCATCCTTTGATTGCTGCTCTCTGTTGCAATCTGGAAAACCTGGACCAGAGAAGGAGTATTCATAACAGCAGGGAATTGATTGTTTATGGGAGACTTTTAAAAAATTTTCTTACAAGAAACACTTGGACTTTCCTGTGTTGGGAAGGTGGTATGCAGATGGATTCATGCCACATGGGCCAAACAGCCTTTTGATACAACCAGTTTTAGTTGCTACCCGAGTAGACTGGATTTGAATGGGAGAAGCTGGGGTGAACGATTCTGGGTCCTGGTGATCTCAAGGAGTCCAAACTGTTGTTATTCACTATGCAAGTACATTGAATTTTTACATCCTCCGCCTTTTCACAGGACAGCCTTGGTGGTAATAGCAAGACCGCCATGGTAGCGACCGTCAGCCCAGCAGCAGATAATTACGATGAGACACTGTCCACGCTGAGATACGCAGATCGGGCCAAAAACATCATTAACCATGCCGTGGTCAACGAAGATCCAAACGCCCGCATCATCCGGGAGCTCAGGGAGGAGGTGGAGAAACTCCGGGAGCAGCTCACCAAGGCAGAGGTACAGCTAACACGTAGTAGTCGTAACCAGCCGCTTGCTGCACGCTGCTGAAATGCTGTATAGCTGCTCGTCAGATCTCTCTTTAATTTTTATTTTTTTTTTTTTTTTTTTTTTTTTTGGTCCGGGCTTGAAAAATTAGCATCTGTAAGGAATTATTAGCTCATTATCTCCTGAGAAAAATTGCAGGTTAAGGAATTATCTTTCATTTCTCTTCACCTTATCTTTTTTCTCCTCTTTTTTTGCATGCAGCTCTTTCTGAATAGTCGAGTAGTAACAAAGGCACACGTGTCTTTGTGCGTCTTTGTGAGGTCACCTTATTAGATCTGAGCTTACAGATCAAGAAGGAAGGCAGATGTACAGACATATGAAGGCCTCTGCTGTCTAGAGGTGGGGCTTTCTCTAACCACGCAGGAGTTCAGCGCCTTTGCAGCATTGCAAGACGTAAATACATCTGGTGAACTTCTACTTGCCTCCCAGTTTTAAAATCTTTTAACAGTATTTTGTGGTAAATCATTTTCATCCTTCCAGCATTGCAGACGGGGTATTCATGGTAAATCTGGGCATCCTTCTGAGCTGCAGCATGGGGGAGCCTGGTTTAATGTTTAAAGAACGAGGCCAAGATCGAGGGTAGATCTGGGTCCCGTTCCAGGTTTGCTATGAGAGTTGCTGCGATTATGACTTCAACCCAGTTATTTCTGTTTGCCACTGCAAAATGGAGGTATTGCTGCTTTCCTCACAGGGGCTCACTGCCTGAGGTTTTTAGAAATGACTGGTGTTGTCCAGGTGCCTCATTTTTGAACAGTTGAGCATGCTGAATGTGCGTGATATTGGCTCCCTTAAGGTGTCTCAAGTTAGACACCCAGAAGTCAGTAGTCCCTCTGAAAACCACAACAATTTTTCAAGTGTTTTAAGAATTGTAAGTACTGGGTGTTTACTCTACAGTTTTGTCTTGATTTTATCTTTAGCTGATGGTTGATAGAGAGGGATTAATGCCAAAGTTGTGGAAGCTAGTTCTCTAGAGCAAGGGTGGGCAAGGATTTTGGCTGGAGGGCCGCTCAATGAGTTTTGGTGAGCTAGCAAGGGCCACAAGGGTAGTCCCACCCCTTGACTGGTGCCCCCCCCCCC